TTCTTGTTCTTGTTGTCGTTGTTGTTGTTGTTGTTGTTGTTGTTGTTGTTTTTCTTCTTCTTCTTCTTCTTCTTATATTTCTTCTTTTTATTATTTTTTTTTTTCTTCTTCTTCTTCTTCTCCTCCGTGTTTCTCAAACACTACATTCTTTATCCACTGTCTCCAATCTCTTGACATCTTCGCTTTTCTTTCAGTTCTATCTTCTCTTCTTTTCTCAGTTTTCTCTTTTGCTCTTTTCRTCCTGTCCTATTCTGTTCTCTCTCCTCTTTTTTATTTGACAAGATTTCTTGTTATTTCTAAGCAAGCAGATCAAAACAGAAAAACCAAAGAAGAAATTTATAAGGTAAAACCATCCAGATATCCATCCAATTCTTTTAAAATCCATTTTTTCATTTTTTCATTCATTCCCGTTACTCTCATTCATAGGAAATCACTGAGAACTTCCATCCTGTCTTTCGACATTTCTTTCTGGAGAAGTTTTCGGATCCTGCTGTGTGGTTCGAGAGACGGCTGGCGTACGTCAAGAGCTGCGCCACGTGCTCAATAGGTAACACTGATAAACCCTGCTCATGCGTAGACGCTTCGTTAGCAGTTTAAATGTCGGCTTAAATATGAAAAATAGCGATTTCCTTAAAGTTTTATTGTTAGTATAAATTGCTCATACAACTTAGAAGACTAAAAGTAAACAGCTTTAAAAATATACATAAAAACTAGCTTCTTTCTCAGTCAATCTTATCAACGAACGAGTGGGCTTTTCTTCGTCTTTTGAATATTCGTTCCCATCATTAAGGATGCAGTCRTTGTCTTCGTATCATAGCAACAACCAATCAGAAGCTTTATTTTACAGTCGGTTACATCATGGGGCTTGGTGATCGTCACGTGCAGAACATTCTCGTTGATTGTAACACCGCTGAACTCATCCATATTGAYCTGGGTAAGTTTTATGCAAGACTCAAAAATATTTTTAGTTCAACGTGCTGGCTGTAAGTGAATTTGTCCAATACGAGTTGCATACCTTCCTTCCTTTTTGTAAAGCCTGAAATATTTTATGGAAGATACAAAAACTGCCACTTGTAGCTCTGTCCCTAATAAAGCGACGTTCTRTGTTCGTCAGGCGTGGCGTTCGAACAAGGCAAAATCTTACGCACCCCAGAGACCGTYCCATTCCGACTGACACGTGACCTAGTGGACGGAATGGGGGTGACCGGAGTAGAGGGGGTTTACCGACGATGCTGTGAGAAGACAATGGAAGTTATGAGATCATCTCAGGAAGCTTTGGTCACAATATTAGAGGTACRGCGACAATTATTTGTTATGTTTGGCGTGTTGAGACCCATCTTTAAAGAGCCATGGTCGACCGGCATTCATTGCGGTCGTTTTTTAGATTTTAAAGTCCAACAGACTTCGCTCGCTTGCTCTTGCTAATTTAGGCGCGTTATTTTACCAGGTTCTTCTATATGACCCAATTTACTCCTGGACTTTAAGCCCCGAAAAGAAAAAGGCTCTGCAAACGGCCAAAACCGAAGCWGATGACACCATGACCACAGGGATTCAATCCGGGGATTTTCTGGAGACAATGACCGAAGGGAACTCGGTCGAGTCTAGAAACAAGATGGCGGAAAGGGTTCTCTTGAGGTTGAAGCAGAAATTAAACGGTGTTGAAGACAACGTTCAGTTGAGTGTCAGTGGACAAGTCAACCACTTAATACGAGAGGCTACAGATCCAAATAACCTTTGTCGACTATTCCCAGGATGGCAGCCGTGGCTGTAGTGCGTTATAGAATTTCTTTTGCGACAACAGCGTGACATATCACGTAATGCAATACTGAATATTGCGTCATCTTGATCTTTGCGTGACATCTTATCGTTGGGTGAATTAATCGTCTGTTTTACCGTGACGTCATTGACTCTGTTGTATGACGTCATTATGATGGCTTCGTGACGTCATCGTGACTTATGGTATATGTTTTGTGATGATTGCTTGTTGTGATATGATGGTTCTCATTTTATCGGTGACGGAAACGATCGTGATGGATTCGCTGCACGAGAAGACAGATCGGCAATTGGTCGTGAAATGATCGGGTAAAAGTCGAGATGCTGATCGTTACAAATCGGTATCAAAATCGTTGGAAGCAAAAAAGACATTCTCTTTGCAAAGAGTGTTGGAAACAGATACATAAATTGCCAGATACAAAATTGACATTTAAATAGTTAAAATTCTATCAAGAACAATATTATTAATTTAGAAAATGCAAAATTTAAAAACCAAAACAATTTAGAGAGTTTATGATATATATACATTTTGTTCAAATTTAAACGTTTTATACCAATTATGTAATGGTAACTTAGGCCATCATAATTAAAATAATACTACATCATTTAAATACTCGGTGAGTATTGATTTTATGCGAATACTACTTATTGTCGTTCTACAACTCGTTCTATTTTGACATGTTCGCCAATATGGCCGCCATCTTGGATTCTATTCAGTACAAAACCAGGGTTGCACAGGAGGCACTAAGCAAAGAGTTTAGATGCTGAAGTAGTTATACGAACTAATAAGAGAGAGTAAGTTTTCGCTGCCATTCTTTGTAACAATGTCTTAATTCTTTTGCCCAATGGACATCCCGTAATTTCTTCTTGATTCAAGATGGCGGACTTATGGAATGATAAAGTCGTTTGAATCTGTAGTTTTTTTTTACTTTCTGAAGGTCAAATTTCTTGCTGTCAGATTAAAAAGACCAGTAGTTTCTCTAGTTAAAGCCTTTTAAATTAATCCATCCTTTATTTTGATKCTTAAAGCTTGAATAATTCAAGTAATTTAGTTTTCTTATGGACATTTTTCATTCAATCACTTATTAGCGTTCCCTAAGCCTGCGAGATTTACATCAAGATTAATTCTAAGAAATACTAGTCTTAATTTCTTTTTGTTCACAAAGCAATAAATCCATGTTTTAATGAAAGCCAATCAGGGAGACTGAAGTATCATCTATCTCTCTTAACTACTTTACATAACTCAAAGAATAGCTAAATGAAGGTAAGTTCAGTATTCAAAATGTTGTACAGTATTTTTTCCGTACTGTGACCGTTTGTATGTAAAAAGTACGATATCATGCATTAGAACTCTAGTTTAATCCGGCGAAATACGAAAAAAATTCGTAAGTTGTCACAAAAGCTGTTGTTTAACAGATGTTCTCAAGTTTGGTTGAAAAGCGTGTTCCGAAACTTCGGGATTTCTCTGTAAAATTCAGAGAAAATAACGTATACAACGATGATTAATTATATTAGGCTGATTTAACATTTATTTTATTATTATTCTTGTATTTGTCTTTGCGCACTTAAAACTGATTATAAAACGGAAACTGTCAAACATAACGAGACAAGCTGGATTTTGCTTTCTTTTCGCTATTTAATCCTACGACCTTTGACAAGTAGCAAACTTATCCAACCCGATGAAACTAAAACCCCCTGAGACTACTGGTATTGTTATTATTTAAATTTAATGCCATGATGTTTGTGCATAAATTAATTGTTATAAAAGAGAGCATTGGAATCTCCAAATTAACACGATCTCCTCTTTATTTAACAGGTTTGTGAAGTAGAATGGCTGAAATATTCCAGGTAATTCAACCGAGTATATCTATAATTTACWATGGCATACTATGCAGTATTACAGCAGTAAGATTCAAAATCTACCGCGAAATGTTTTTTCTTTTTCTGTTCGTATCTCAATGCAAGCGGGCACGAAGAGTAAAAAATGTATCTTTGCGTCTTGATTTGACTGAATTATTTCGATGTAAAAAGAGCAATTTGGAAATCAAGTATTTGAGGAGTTAAATTACTATAATAAGACCAAAACTTTTGTCGTACAACCGAAAAAGACGCTTGCTCGAAGTTGCTAGATGACAAATTTATTGTTCAGTGTGTTTAGAGTTTTATAGAATCAAGAGAGGGAACTTGATAGCTTCTTCTTGTCTTCGAGAGATTGTACTGGGTTTTACTGTCACAGATTCTCGTCGTGCAGACGAAGCAGTTGACCTTGCTGTACAAGCAGTTTTACTTTCCATATTCTAAAATTATYACATATTGGCAATGTTTACTATACAAAGAACACAGTGAAATCACTTAGATCAAATGAATGTGGAGTTAGTGCCTCTGACTGTTGATTGTTTGGACTGACTGTTTGTGCAATTTGCACTGAATGATAATCATATGTGATGTTACTTGTGTTTTTAACCATGTAAGTCGTACAAGCCTTGTAATTATATTAATTACCACCCTGCATCTATTTAACACCAAAAATCTTGCTACCAAAAAGTTATCGACTTTTTACAGGTGCTGGGTACTTGCTACAGGAGGTTTTTATAACTTTAGTCCTCTACGAGCGGTTAATGATACCCATGATCTACCAAACTATCACAAATAGATTATTTTCATTGGCTACTAAACTATAGTATTTTCACGACACACCATGGTCACATCGAGTGAAGTGAATATTGCACAAAAATGCTGAGATATTTTGTCTTTGATGTTCCTTTGTCAAAGTTGCAACATAGATTGGTGGAGATACTAAAACAATGGTTGAATAGACTATCAGCTCGCAGTCTACTCGACCTCGTGGTCTACTTGTTACTGATATGTACATTATATGTACGGTCCATAGATTTTCTGTGAATTTTATCGTCTGGTTAGGATTTGTCTGTTGGAAAAAAGTAATTATCTTTCGTATAATCAAGCYTTGGTCTTTTTAAAATTAGAAGAGCCAGGCGATCCCCAATTCACATATTATAATCCCAAATGGAATATATTTAATAATATAAGCATACAAAATCGATTTTAAGCCACAGCAAATAATATTATAATAATATTATATCCTTCCAATACCAAATTGATACACATAGGATTAAAACTGAAACCATAAACTAAAATTCCTGTAAAATAAAGAAATTATGTTTATATGTTACAGTAAGTGATACGCTTTACAAAGTATAAAAACAAACATCTCAATGATTTTTGTATTAATCAAGATAGCAGACAGCCAGCATTGAAAAAGGGAATCCATGCATAAAATCTCGTGTGGGCTTCTCGGAGTAGAGGTTGTCGTACGACTTCCATATATGGATGTCCATATGGATGGCTCTAATGTACCTATAGAAGGCTCTCATGTCCCTATAGATGGTTCATTAATTATATATTCAATCTTATGTACATATGCGTGGTTATTCATGCATGCCGTTGCATAAATATCACAAAAATTCAGGTTCACTCAAGCGAATTGGTCTCGTGGCTTAATGGTTAGGTTTATATTAGGGATAATATCGGGTTAGGCAATACATAGCGCTGGTTCGAATCTTAGTACTCGTTCTTCAAAAATTTCTTTTCAGTTTAAGTTTAGGTCTTTGAAATTTTCTAAGTTCTTCTCCACGTAATTGGGACATCAGCGCCTTCTATGTGCACATAAGCGCCTTCTATGTGCACATCAGCGCCGTACATGCACAACCATATATGGAAGTCGTACGACAAACCCTTCTC